AGACATAATAATGCTAATGGTGATAAGAATAATAATAGTTATAAAAGTAATGCTAATGCTAATACTAATGGTAATGCCAATGCTAATGCTAATTTGGTGTTCATTTTTGTAAGTAATGTTGATTCTAATGATAATAAAAAGAAAATATTTACTCGAATAATTATCAAATATATTATTTGAAAGTAATAATGCTAATAATAATGAAATATGATTTCAATTATAATGATAATTCCCATAATAATGCTACTGATAATGGGAAGAGTGATGACACTTAAAATAATAATTATTATAATAGCTGATAATATTGCCAATAATTATAGCAAGGCTAATGCAATATCTTCTGCTTGAGATTAACAAGTTGTTAAAGTTTCTCATTGAATCATTTCTTTTCATGCAAATCTTGAGAGCTCGCAAAAACTTTTCAGTTGAGCTGCTTTTCACACGGCCCATTAGGCAGCGCATTGGTCCAAGGCGAAAACGCCTACGCCCAACTTGCCCTACATTTTAATGAAGCCAAATGCTTTTGGCTATAAATTAGAAAAGCTCCAACAACTCCTCCCGCTCTGCCATCTCCCTCGCTCACACATTTATCGATGGGCGACCCACTTGGGCAGCAGAACTTTTGCACTTTGACCGCGCCACACCTCGCCCTGACCGGGTGCTCGCCTCCCCACCCCCCTGCACTTTTTCAACGGCAAGTTCAATTCATTCTTAAGCATATCCTTTTTACAGCTTATGTCTGCCACGCCCACAGGCAGCTAACGTCCCACTAGAAGCTACTCCTGGCAGAAGCTTTACTGTTGCTCATCAAATGTCAAACCAATACACAGGAGAACTTAACTTTTCCTTCCTCATTTTTTTTTTGGTAGATGCGGCTGCCACGCCTGTTCTACAAAGCAATAGCTACCCCCACCCCCCTTGAGGGTACCCGCTGGTTTTCCATTTCCGCAGAAGCAGCCATTGTAGTGCGGTTAAAAAGTTTTTTGGCACGACGCAAAGCGATTTCTCGCGTTTCCCATGGCTGGCAGCTCTTAATAAAGTCGCGACAACTTTTCCAACCAGCTACTATATAGTGTATATATGCTACATAAATGTACATATATAGATATACACGTATATAAAAAGACTTATTGTCGAGTTATTTTATCAAATTTAGCGCCAGGACAATTCGTTTTGAATGAAGTTTGCCTTATTCAAGGGGAGACAGAGAAAGAGAGAGTGTATGTGCGCATGTGTGTATGTCTGCGTGTGTGTAATTGCATGTCAATTGCATGGCCATATAAACTCCCTTTCAATTTGGC